CAAACCCTTACCCTTAGGAACTTTGACCAACAATCAAGAAGTTCCTTAAACCCTTTTAGGGGAACTACAAATACTCTGATTCTGTTCCCGTCAGGATATGTAGGCACAAGATGCGACGTCTTGGCGAGTACACTTAGAAATAAACCACTAGGTCTTTCATCCTTAAGCAGATAACCCATAACAATAAACAACATAAAATACGAGGTTCCTGTAGGATACTACAGAAACTTAGGATGCTAGCACCTTTCTTAAGTTTAACCAACCCCGAACCTAAACTCTCTAGCTTTTGCATTTGAATTGCATTGTGGGTAATTCGATATTTTTCCCTTCCTTTGGACAAATAAAAGACCGGTGGTGAATAATGAATTAAGATTCAAATTAATTAATAATTTGACATCCAATTCTCACCGCGACAACCGTAACTGAAGGTAATATGAAATATTTAAATAATACTGCTTATGTTTTGGGTAAGAAGAAAACTTTAGAAAAACTGCCAAAATTGCCTTATGGATTACATTATACTCATATACATGAAATTGAATGTAATTTAGTAGTAAAAGAAGATCTCAAAACAAAAACTTTATGTCATGACGTTTAGGTCAACTTTGTTCAATAATGATGCGTAAAATGGTTGAAAATAGCCATGGTCATCCATTGAAAGGGTTAAAACATATAAAAGAAGATAAACCATGTGAAGTTTGCTCTATTGAGAAAACTAATAACAAAGCATTCGTCATGTAATATTCAAACAAAAACAACTACATTTCTTGAGAGAATTCAAGATGATATATGTGGACATATCCATCCACCGTCAGGACCATTCAGGTACTTTATGGTATTAATTGATGCATCTAGTAGATGATTATATGCATGTTTACTCTCAAGTCGTGATATGGTATTTGCAAAACTTCTTGCACAAATAATTAAACTAAGGGCTTAATTTCCAGATTACACTATAAATAAAATTAGACTTGACAATGCCGATGAATTTACATCTGAATCATTTAATAATTATTGTATGCCAATTGAAATTACGGTTGAACATCATACTCCTCATGTACATACACACAATGGTTTAGCTGAGTCATTAATCAAACGTCTTCAATATGTTGCTAGACCATTAATAATAAAAACCAAACTACCAGTTACTATTTGGGGTCATGCAATTTTACTTGTTGTAGCACTCATCCGTCTAAAGATAAATGCTAATTAGAGACATACCTCTTATCAACTTACAATTGATAAGGAACTAAATATTTCTCATTTAAAGATATTTAATTGTGCAGTATATGTCCTAATATCTCCATCGCATAGAACAAATATGAGACCTCAAAGGAAGTTGAAAATATATGTGAGGTATGAATCACCACTTATTATTAGATATCCTGAACTTTTAACATGTGATGTTTTTCAGGCAAGATTTATTCATTGTCATTTTGACGAAACAAAATTTTCAACACTAGGGGGAGAAAATAAAAAATTAGAAAATGAGATAACATGGTATGTAATTCATTTATTACATTTGAACCCATATAATAAATAATGGGAAATTTAGCAAATCAACTACCAGATTCTCTTACTAATTTGAAAAGAGTGATGAAGTCACATGTATTAGCTATAACTGTCCCAGCTCGGATTGAGATTTCAAATCTAAATGATGTAACAAGTACATCTAAGGCACACTTGAAGCGTGATCGACTTATGGGATCCAAAGAGAAAAATCCTCAAAAAAGAAAAGGAATAGAAAAGGTGAATATGATTGAAAGTGGTCTTGAAAAGACACTAAATATTAATAAATCCACAGTTGAAAAACGTGCTCTCGAAAAAGCACAAGATGATGATAATGAGATCATTGATAATGAAACTGTAAACAAGAATGATTTTAAGATTTCAATTAATTATGTTGATACAGAAACTTTGTGGAACCGAAAAGGTATAAATATAGATGAAATATTTTCATTCTCCATTGCATGTGAAATAATGAATGAAAATGACGATCCAAAACCAAGAACTATGAATGAATGTTAAAATAGACATGATTGAAAAAATTAAAAGGATGCAATATATACTGAATTAAATTCTCTTAAAAATCGAAAAGTATTTGGCCTTATTACAGCTATACCGAAAAATGTGAAACTAGTTGGGTATAAGTGGGTCTTTCTAAGAAAACAAAATGATAAAAATGAGATTGTCAAATACAAGACTCATCTTGTTGCACAAAGTTTTTACGAAAGACCATAAATTAATTATGAAGTAACTTATTATCCTGTTATGGATGCCATTACTTTTCGTTATTTAATGGTTTATCATTATTTAATAATTTTGATATGTATCTTATGGATGTTGTTACAACTTATTTATACGGGTCACTTGATATTGATATACACATGAAAATCCCATAAGGATTTAAAATACCCGAGACATCAAAACCTAGAGAAATGTATACAATTAAGTTGCAAAGATCATTGTAGGGGTTAAAACAGCCCGAGCACATGTGGTATAATATGCTAAGTGAATATCTGCTAGGGATGGCAACGGGGCGGGGCGGGGGCGGGTTTAACTATACCCGCATCCTCACCCGCTTCCATGTAGCACACCCGCCCCCAAACCCAACTGGGGGTAAAAATTTACCGCCCATACCCGCCCCTAGTAGAGAACGGGTGCACCTGCACCCGCCCCGCCCCCACCCGCAAAAAAATTAATAATTTAATTAAAAAATTAATTATTTTAATAAATTAATTAATTATTTAATTAAAATTTTAATTAGTAAATGAATATTAATTTGATTAATTTAATTATTTTAATTGTAATAAGGGTATTAATAGTTTAATTACAAATATAATTAATAAATGAATATTAAATTAAGTAAAATAAGAGAATTAAACTAAAATGCATTATTCGGGAGCGGGGCAGACGGGTCTTAGTGTCTCCTCGCACCCGCACCCGTAGTTAAGAACCGGGTTTCCCCCGCACCCGCACCCAACTAAATCGGGTTTTCCCCGTTAATTTCGAGGCGGGTGCGGGCGGGTCCGGGTATGTTTGCCATCCCTAATATCTGCTTAAAGAAGGCTACGAAAATAATCCTATTTTGCTTGTATTTTTATAAGAAAAACAATATTCAATTTTGTAATAATTGCTGTAAATGTTAATTATTTATATATCCTTGAAACTAATAAATAAATTAAGAAAGCAAGAGATTACTTAAAGAAATAATTCGAAATGAAAGATTTGAGAAAAATCAGGTTCTGTCTATGTTTAGAAATTGAGTATACTAAAAATGGTCAATTGATACATCAACCAAATTATACATAAAGGACATTGAAAATGTTTAACATGGACAAAACAAACCCTTTGAGTATCCCAATGATGAGAATAACACTTAATGTTGAAAATGATCCATTTAGACCTAATGAATGTAATGAAGAAGTTCTTCACTCTGAAGTACCATACCTCAGTGCCATTGGAACGCTCATGTACCTTGATAACTATACAAGACTTGATATAACTTTTGCAGTGAATTTACTAGCAAAATCTAGTTCATGTTATACAAATAGACATTGGAAAGGAAAAAATCATATATTCCAATATCTTCGAGGTACATCTGACACTGGTTAGTTTTATTCTAACAATACAAAACCAGTTTTGCTTGGTTATGCAGATGCATGATATTGGTCAGATCCACATAGTGCTAAATTATTGACTGGATATATATTCACATATGGTAACATTGCAATATTATGAAGATCACAAAAGCAAACACCTGTAACAATTTCTTTAGATCATGCTGAAGTAATTACCCTTCATGAAGCAATCAAAGAGTGTAATTGGTTACAAATGGTAACTCGACATATCTAAGGAGCGTATGTTTACCAATTTATAATAATCTAACAATTTTGTATGAAGACAATGCTGCATGTGTTACCCAGATGAAAGAATGTTACATCAAAAGTGATAGAACCAAACATATTCCTCTAAAGTTCTTCTCATTCACACAAGAACTCGAAAGAAACAAAAATGTTGATATTCAATATATCGTTCAAGTGATAATATGACATATATTTTCACAAAGGCAGTACCTACATTATTTTTTAAGAAACATGTACAAAATACTAGAATGCATCACCTTCAAGATCTTTAAAGAAGAGATAAATGTGTTATGTTGAGGGAGAACATCATGTTGTACTCTTTATCCCTTATTAAAGTTTTTATCTTAATGAATTTTTTTTTAACAAGATTTTTAACGAGACAACATATATTTTCATAAGTTTCTTCTCAATAAGATTTCATTGAAACATCATAATAAATATTTTAAATACGAGTGTTATAATAAACAAGAATATTATTATTGTTAGTTAAAAATATCTATCTTAACAATAATGACCAATTATTATAAATGTATAATTTATCAAAGTTAAAATAATAATACCAATTATTACATTAGTATAATAGTTATATTTCTAATAATACAAATACCTTTTTCTTAATATAAAATGACAACAATTTCCTTTAAAAATCTTAGATGAGATATTCTACTTTTCTTTCAATATTTTCCATAGGCTACTTGATATTATATAATTTGATTAGTAATTATTATATTAGTTCACAAATATTAAAACAAAATATTCAAAATCAATTTTTTTTAACAATATCATTAATGTTAGAGAGGCTAAAATTAATTATTTTGTATATTATAAAATCAATTTCTATTTAAACTAAAATTACTAGGACTAAGAAAAAGATTAAAAATAAAATAGAATATATTTACAAAAATTAAAACGAAACAAAAAAAAAAATACTACCTAACTTTCTTTTCATGAATAAACTAAATGTTTAAATTATATATATATACACATATATATATCAAATTAAATGACGCATAATTGTTATTATTTTATTTAATAATAAAGCCGAGAGCGAGCACAATTCATGTGATTTATTAGAAGGTATAGAGAGAAAACAGTAACGGAAGTAAAGAGCAGCAGAAAGAGTGAGTTCGAACAATGGAAACTCCTCCGTCGCAGCAAGGCGTAGTAAAGAAGAAGGAAACGCGAGGGCGAAAACCTAAACCAAAAGACGATCAACAACAACAAACATCTGCCAAGACACTGAAAGAAGCGAAAAAGGCGCAACTACTACAACAGCAACAACAGCAACAACAGCAACAGCAGCAACAACAACAACACCAAGCTTCCGTAGACGAGAAATACACCCAATGGAAGTCTCTCGTTCCCGTTCTCTACGATTGGCTTGCGAATCATAACCTCGTTTGGCCTTCTCTCTCTTGCAGGTATCTAAATTTCGTCATTTCTAGGGTTTTGGATTTTTGTTTCTGAAATTTTAGCTTTAGTTTAATTGAGGAACGGTGTGATTTGGTGATAGGTGGGGTCCTCAGCTTGAACAAGCTACTTATAAGAATCGGCAGAGGCTTTATCTTTCCGAGCAGGTTTAAGATTGAATCTTTTGATTAATTTTGCTGTTGTTGAAATTGGTTAATGGAGTGAGAGGGAAGCCATTTTGATTTTGGTTTTTGATTTTTTTTGTTAGACTGATGGTAGTGTCCCGAATACCTTGGTGATTGCGAATTGTGAGGTTGTGAAAACTAGGGTTGCAGCTGCAGAGCACATTTCACAGGTGATTTATTTACCAGAAATAGTTTTAGAAAATTGAATGATGGGATGTCATGTTACCACATCTGTCGGTGTTGTTCACCGAGCACACGTAGTACACCGGACACGCTTTCAATTTGATGCCTACATAATTTTAAATTCAGTTACTGAACTAATTTATTAATTTTTCAGTTTAATGAAGAGGCTCGCTCTCCATTTGTGAAGAAGTACAAGACCATAATACATCCGGGCGAGGTATAAATATCACTGACATTCTTAAATTTGGATGCATTTGAACCATACTTAAGAGATGAATAAATAATGTCTTTCTTAATCTGCCCTGGGTTTCTTTTGGAAATTTAAGCGAGGTTTTTGTTTATTTATATATCCCTTTAAATTGCTCATATCAGTGTTGTTAACAAACCAGTAAAGTGGCGCTATGTTGCTATTATGTATCAGAATTTGGGGTAGCCGATGCGATATATCATCTCTGCTATTTGCAGTATAGTGGCGCATGTGATGCTATATGTTAACTCCACAATTTGCAGTATAGTGGCACATGTGATGCTATATGTTAACTCCACAATTTGCAGTATAGTGGCGCGTGGTTTAATATATTGTTATAGTGGTACGTAATGAATAGTGGTGTTGTATGTTTTACTAGTGCCCAAACTTTTTAAAACATCATAGAAAGAAACACAAAACCTGAACCGTCAAGTCAGTTAGTGGGTATTATATAATACTGAAAGCAATACAATTTCACTATCTTCTTTACCTAGGTAAAGACAACTCACCACTCTTCCTCCATCATCAAGTAACCACTCTGTTCTTCATTTTGTTCCTTCATCTCCTTCAGGCAGCAATTTATCTAACCATGCATCATGTTCATGTTTTATTAGTTGTTTGCAATATTGAGATTTTGAGTTTTATGTTAGTTACTTTTTTAATTTATGTTTATGTAGCTTTTATTTGTGTGCAACATGCTTTATTTTGTATACAATTATTTATATTTCGTCTGCCATGCAGCTTCCACTATTTACCCGCTACACGACCTGCTATTAATACCAATAGTTTATATTCTTGCTTGAATTAAACATCTTTATGCTGATAATCTGGGTATTGTTGTTTGCTGATCTGATCTTTATGTTTTGAGTTGTAGGTGAACAGAATTAGGGAATTGCCGCAAAATTCTAAGATAGTGGCTACTCACACAGACAGCCCTGATGTACGAATTTTACAGTTTCCCTTGCTTTTGTTTTTATTCTTCAGCACTGGCATGTTTCCTGACTATTTTGTTCCTTATTTGTGTCTCTTCGAATGCCAGGTTCTCATTTGGGATGTTGAAAGTCAACCTAACCGTCATGCTGTCCTTGGAGCTACAAACTCTCGTCCAGATTTGGTATGACTTTTTGATTGGGCTCCGTGCACTACTTATCCACAGCATTCATTCATCTAGAATAGTTCAGACCAATTGTAACACAATCAAAATCACATAATGAAGCAGATGCATGTTACTTTTGTTTGAGAAATGTCTGTTTCCCTAAAAACTAGGATTTGTGAAATGTGAATAGGTCAGGTTATGCTGCGGTTTTGGTATATTGACTTACTGAATAAACTTTTCAGTTACTTGAGGGTGACTCTATTGAACTGAAGAGTTGGGTATAGCATCTTTGGGGCTAGAAAAGAGTTAAGGGTGCAGAATCTTTTAAATTAGGGTGGATCTCTCCACAGTTTGAATTATGTGGACTCCATTAGTTCCCCTGAATTATCCTATTTAGCAAAAATTTTATTCTAATGTTATTTTTGCTATTTGTCGAGGTTGATACTTGGTGTAGTTTTTTTCTTATTGCAGATATTGACCGGACACCAAGACAATGCTGAGTTTGCTCTTGCAATGTGCCCAACTGAGCCTTATGTCCTTTCAGGAGGTTGGCAAACTTTTTTTTCTTTCCGTTTAAACATTTAGGATTTTAAATCCCTGTCATCATTGTTCTGGTTACTTGTTGCTCTGCATCTGAAATATCTGAGTTGCATTGCAGGAAAAGATAAAACAGTGGTGTTGTGGAGTATTGAAGACCATGTAACATCTGCGGCTACGGACAAATCTGGTGGATCCATTATCAAACCGAACTCTAAATCTGGGGAAGGCAATGATAAAACTGTTGATAGCCCTTCTGTCGGGCCAAGAGGTATCTACTCTGGGCACGATGATACTGTTGAAGATGTGGCCTTTTGCCCTTCTAGGTAACTTACTAACTAGTTTCACATTTATGTGCTTTTCCTTATTATTGAAGTAGTTATTCTCATTTTACTCTACCTTATTATAAACTAAGGGTGAAATTTTGATGACCTGCTATTCTTTCCTCCTAGTATCCTTTATCAATGAGTTAGCTACTCCTTTTTCAAGTATATCTTGTAAGGGGAGAGCAGAACAAAATTATTTCATGTTTTCATATTCTATTTGAGGAATCTAGACTATTGCACTATAATCGCAACACAGACAATATCTATATGTTATGAGATTCATATTCTTCTGACATCAATATGTTAATGGTGAAGTGCACAGGAATTCTGTAGTGTTGGAGATGATTCTTGTCTCATATTATGGGATGCACGTGTTGGCTCTAGTCCTGTTGTTAAGGTATATGATTTATAGTTCAATCATTTATTTGAATTTGTTTTCCTATTTTGTTATTTCATATAACATAAAATAGTCAGTCTCAAACCGACAGAAAAAGAGGGTTGTTTTAGGATGCTGGCAGTCATCCAACATAACTTTTAGTCGTATTTTGTTGGCAGTGATACCAGCGATGCAATAATGGTACTGTTAGGTTGTTGCCAGTTGGCAAAATGCTGGATGGCTTGGGTACAATGTCAAGTAAGAATAGTTGCCTTGACACCCATGTGTAGCGAAAAAGGAGAATGGGTTCTCACAGTGTTGTGAATGAGTAGGGATAAAGAAGGTAAACCATGTACAGCGAGAAAAGTGAATGAATTCTCATGTTGTGAATAAGTGTGGATAAACAATGTAATTTTTGAGTGTAAAATCAACATTGGATCTTGAAAATTAAGACCATTTGCTAGTAATAAATGGAAATAGTGAATACTATAAGTGGGTAGGAGCAAAGGCAAGATCTTAAAGTTGGTCAGGCATTGTTGCTAATAAGCATCGGATGGGTGTAGTAGTTTTGGATTACAAAAGGTTAGAATAAGAACACAACCCTAAAATATATAATGAAACAAGATACTTTCAGCATTACTAGTATATGTATCACAAGTAGTGTTAAAATATCAAGTTTTGGGAGGATTTGAAAAGTTTAGTTAAAGAAATACCTTTTGGTAAGAATATTTTGTTCAGGGATAAGGTGCTGAAGTGGGTCCCTGCTTTTTGTTTCACTTCCATGGTTCTGATTTGGACACTTACTAATACATTTGGTTGGTGATTGAGAAAGACCTGAAAAACTATAGGCTTAAGGGCTTAACCATTAAAGCAGATTCAAATTTAATTATGCTATCATTGGACGTCTTTTTTTTGGACACCATCCAGTGCAAAATGACTTCGATTGTTTTTGTTGTTGTTTTGACATAAGTATGAATTTTAAGGCATGCTTTTTGGTAAGGTATATGTTTTGTAATTCAATGATCTATTTACATTTGTTTTTATTTTGATACCATTACACATTTTGAAGCATTAGGTAAAACACAATTTTCATGTTTATTCAAAAATTTATATAGGCGTGTGCAACATTGGGGTTTTATCAACTGGGGGAATATATGTATTTATCTAAGATATTTACATACACAACCCCCTTTTTTATACTGTGTAACATAATAACTTAACGCGTCATTGTATTAGTTTATTATTTGTCTTTATTTTCCTTCTCTGATATGAGTTTGGTGGCAGGTTGAAAAAGCTCACAATGCCGATCTTCACTGTGTTGACTGGAATCCCCATGATGATAATCTGATTCTTACTGGGTATGTTCTCCTGTTCTATATGCCTAATTATCATTATCCACTGTTTGTTTTGCTCAGTTCAACGCGTGTTCTACTTCATATAGTTTTGACCAAGATGGGGAAGTATCTTGTTAGACCCACTCTAAAGTGGCTGCAATAAAACATAATGGGACACATGGCATAAGGAGGTGGGGATGGGAGTTGATTCGGTAATCAGAGGGAGTTTATTAGAGGGTGTTAAGAGTCCCACATCGGACAATATATGACATGAACATGTGTTTATAAGTGGGGTAGGGTTGAGTTAGGCCCAACCACAATTTCTTAACATGGTATCAGAGCCTCGTTTAAGATCCGGTGGGCCACCTTCTATGGTTTCCGCTATCGGGCCACCCACCATCTATTTCCACGCTTCAGTTGTCCAGTCCTGAGCGTGAGGGGGTGTGTTAAGAGTCCCACATCGGACAATATATGACATGAACATGTGTTTATAAGTGGGGGCAATCCTCACTCTACCAACCGGTTTTGTAGGGTTGAGTTAGGCCCAACCACAATTTCTTAACAGAGGGCGTAATTGAATTGGATAGGCATCAAAGAATTAAGAATAGATTTGTTTGAGCTGAGCAGAGAAGTTGGTTGATATAACCATTAAAATCAAGAAAAGAAACTGTATATTATTGACTGGAAATTGGTGAGCTCAAGGCTCTACAATGGTGAAAATGGCACAAGAAAAGGTAAGCCGGAGTTCTTTGAACTCCTAAACCAGAGAGAATTCTCTTCGAAGTCCTAACTGTTTTCTAACAAACTTTATGAGTGCCTAATCATTTCCTTCCCCTTTCTTTTATATCAGAAAATCCCTTAAAATTAGGGAATACAATAACTGAATATTATTCTTACAGCTTCTAGAAGCTGTGCTGATGTGGATTGACCTCAATGATTGGGTCATCACACATATAAGAACTCAGTATCGTATCATTGGTTTTCTCTCATAGTTGGAACTTGGGATTATCTTTCTTTTGCATTTTGTTTCTAATTTTCCATCTAGTAAGGAGCAGGGTTGTTCCATTTATTTCTCCAATTTTCCCTCTCTGCATTTCTTGATTTTTCTACCACAACCTCTGGTTGTAGGGGTTATTTCCCTCATTTCTGTTAATATTTCAATATCTGTTTTGTTCCTATCATTTCACATTTGTGTGTAACTTTTCACCATATCACTTCAGGTCGGCAGATAATTCTGTTCGCTTGTTTGATCGGCGCAATCTCACCTCTAATGGGGTTGGGTCTCCTATTCATAAATTTGAGGCTCATAAAGCTGCTGTTCTTTGTGTTCAGGTGATTTAAGATATGCTTTTTGTTTTCTGGATTCTGGTAATTCTCCATGCCTTCTGGCATTATATATATTATATGCTGCGGCATATGTTAGTAACAGTTTGTTTAATTCAGTGGTCTCCAGACAAATCATCTGTATTTGGAAGTTCAGCAGAAGACGGTCTCTTAAACATTTGGGATTATGAGAAGGTGCAGTTTCAAATGAATAATATTTTGCTGCTCTCTTGCCCCAATGATGATATTTGGTTGCTAGGTGTCAACATCTATTTTGTTTTGTGATCAGGTTGGTAAAAAGATTGAGCGAGCTGGAAAAATAATAAACTCTCCTCCAGGGTTGTTTTTCCAACATGCTGGTCATAGGTATGAACCTACTGTCTCTATGGTAAAATTAATTATACTTTAGTGTTAATTATTTCAGTCATCTAGATCTGTAGCTGAAGGGATTGCTCTTTACTTGATAATTTTGTTTTTTTAGCCAGGCCAATTAAATAAATTTTTCTGACTCTTAACCTGATTTATTCATGTTCCTTATCTGATGTTGCTCTTAAGTTTTCTTACACTTGTTGGGTTTCTCTGTCTCTTTGTTTGATTCTCTATCTTTAACATATTCATATGTAAGTCTTGTTAGAATTGTAGAGAATCATAGAGAGAGAGAAGATGAAAGGGAAAAGAGAGAGAGAGAGAGAAGAGAGAGATGAGAATCTAACAGAATTGCATAACTGTATTATTTTTTACATTCTGTTACACCTGTTGGTATTTATAGTTTGTTACACTTCACTGAACTCTATGTGTTCAGTTAATCTAAACTAGAGGGAAGCTATACACTATACTCCTAATACTCCTAATACTCCCCCTTCAAACTTAGGGTGGTTGATCAAGTTCAAGCTTGTCAAGCACCTTAAGTTTGCTTTTGAGGAACAGGAACCTAGAAGTAGAGAGGGGCTTTGTCAGAACATCAGCCCACTGATCAGATGCAGGAATATGTGAGACAGTTAGATCCTTGCTGAGCACTTTCTCTCTGACAAAGAAAATGTCAAGTTCCATGTGTTTGGTTCTGGCATGTAGAACAGGGTAGTGAGCAAGTGACACAGCACTTAGGTTATCGCATAGAACTGTAGGAGTTTGATGCTTGATGTGCAGTTCCTGCAGTAAAGACTGCAGCCAGAGAATTTCTGCAGTAGCATGGGCCAGGCTTCGATATTCAGCCTCATTACTTGACCTAGCAACCAGAGTTTGCTTTTTAGCCCACCAATAGACTAGGTTTGGGCCTAGGTAGATGCAGGCCCCAGAAGTGGATCTCCTGTCATCTAGGTCAGAGGCCCAGTTTGCATCACAAAAGCCTGTGATAGTGATAGGAGTGCTTAGATTAGCAGGAGTAAGAAGCAATCCATGAGAAACAGTGCCGTGAAGATATCTTAAGATTCGTTTAACAGCTTTCCAATGATCTTCTAGTGGATTTGACAGGAACTGACACACCTTACTCATAGCAAAAGAAATCTCAGGTATAGTCACTGTGGCATGCTGAAGTGCCCCTACCACAGACCTTAAGTGTGTAGGATCAGAAACCTGGGCTGAGCCAACCTTGGAAAGTTTAGTACTAGAAGCCATAGGAGAGGCTATACCCTTGGCTGAGGCCATGTTGGTTTTGAGGAGGAGATCCCTGATGTATTTACTTTGTGATAGCACAAGACTGTAAGAGAGCCATTAGAGAGATGAGTAACCTCAATGCCCAAAAAATAGTCCAATTGATCAAGATCCCTGAGAGAAAACTCCATGTTGAGTTTGGTGACAAGTTGTTGAATGAATGGTGTAGAGGATCCAGTGATGATTATATTATCAACATAGACCAACACTAATGTGGAACATGAAAGTGTGAGGAGCATGAATAAAGAGGGATCACACCTACTGGCAGAGAAACCAAGCTGCAGAAGAGCACCTTTCAGTCTGTCAAACCAAGCCCTTGGGGCTTGTTTGAGACCATACAAGGCCTCGTGAAGCTTGCACACCATGCCTGGTTCACCTTTCTCAAAACCTGGTGACAGCACCATATAAACTTCCTAATTGAGTTGTCCATTCAGAAACGCATTATTCACATTCAGTTGTTGAATGGCCCATTTATGGGATATAGCCAAGGCTAAGACAGTTCTCACAGTGACTGGTTTGACAACAGGTGAGAAGGTCTGTGTAGTCAAAGCCTTCAACCTGATGGAACCCTTTAGCCACCAACCTGGCCTTGTATTTGTTGATAGAACCATCAGGGTTCTCCTTCACCCTAAAGACCCATTTGCACCCAATGGGTTTTCTGTGAGAGGGAGCAGGAACCAAGGACCAAGTCTTGTTGCTTAAAAGAGCATCATATTTCAACTGCATTGCAGCATGCCATGCAGGAATGGTGAGAGCCTGTTTGTGAGATGATGGTTCAAGGTGAGTAAGAAGAAGAGTAGGTTGTAGACGAGGCTGAACAATACCATTTTTTTGGCTCTGGTGGTCATGGGTGTTGAGAGGGTGAATAAGTGGAGCAGGTGAGGCCATGTCTGTGGAGGAGGGAGAATTTGAGTCCTCAGAGGCCAAAGAAGGGGATTCAGATGCAGAATTAGTTGGGACAGGGGGTGGACTGTGAGAACTATCAGAAGGAGTATGAGGGGTAGCAGGAAGAGAGTTTGATGGCATGGTTGTATTTGGTTCAGGAAGACCGGGTGATGAATGACTGGGCTGAGGGAGCAGTCTGACTGGAAGTGGGACTCACCCTGGTTGAAGGGGACTGACTGGAGGAAAGGGAAGCAGGACTGACAGGAACCTGAGTGGGAGGAATAGGACAGATTAAGGAAATAGGGATAGGAGACCCAGATGACAGACCTGAGAGAACAGGGTTAGGGTGAGGCTTTGAGGAAGGAAACATGGTGGAGTAAGGAAATTTGCATTCAACAAACAGGACATCTTTGGAGATAAACATTCTGCCATTGGAGTCAAGGCATTTGTATCCTTTATGAGTTGGAGAGTAACCCAGAAAAAGACACTCCTTGGAGTGCATAGCTAGTTTGTTGGAATTATAAGGCCTAAAGTGAGGAAAGCAGGAACACCCAAACACTTTAAGGAATTTGTAATCTGGGAATTTGAAATGGAGCAAGAAAAAGGGTGAGTTATTGCCTAGAGTTGGGGAGGGGAGCCTATTAATAAGATAGGTGGCTGTAATAAAGGTATGGTCCCAAAACTTGAGTGGCAAATTAGCTTGGGCTAATAGTGTTAAACCAGTCTCTACAACATGTCTATGTTTCCTTTCGACTGATCCATTTTGATGATGAGTGTGAGGGCAAGTGATTCTATGGATAATATCATGTGAGTTCAGAAAATGTGTGAGAGGCCTGAATTTACCACCCCCATCAGTTTGAACTGAACAAATGTAGTAAGGTGTGGGATTTTAGTTTTAAAGGGTAAATCCATGTGTATCTACTGTAAGCATCTACACATGTCAGAAAATAAGTATAGCCACAAGTAGATTGAACATGAGAGGGTCCCCACAAGTCACAGAAAATTAATTCAATAGGTTTTGTGTAAACAGTAGTTAAAGGAAGTAGAAGGCAATCTGTGAACCTTGCCCATACAACAAGCATTGCAAAACTCGTCAAATTGTTTATTTGGAACTGAGACATTACACAATTTGGGAACCTGTTTTAAGATCTCATGACTAGGATGGCCAAGTTTGTGATGCCATAGTTGATACACATTAGAAATCGAACCTATAGTTCTATTATTACAAGAGGTATTGAAACTATAATTAGGACTCAAATCTGTAGACAGAGAGGTGTTGACAAGGCTGAGTGCTTGATGAGATGATGGTGGTTGAATGCAATCAAACTTGTAAAAACCATCATGTCCAAGAGAACCACTCAAGAGCACCTTAGATGTAGCCTGACATTTGACAAAGCAAGAATTAGCATGAAATTCAAAAAAGACAGAATTATCTTTTGCAAATTGGCTAACACTTATGAGATTTTTAGTGATGGAGGGGACTAAAAGAAGTTTATTTAGTTTCAGGGATGTATTAGGACACAGATTTGAGGGAAAAACCATAGAGCCAAGAGATGTAATGGGCAAACCTTGACCATTACCAATTTGAACATGATCTGTGCCAGCTAGCAAGGCTTGAGGTCTTGGTCCAGAATACTGAGAGGAGATGGAAGGACTCATAGGCCGAGATTGTTGCATCTGCAGAGGGTTAGGTGCTCTGTAACTAGGCTGTGTCCAAACATTTGACTGATTTGCTCCATAACTGCCAGAGATTGGAGGTGCACCATAATAGGTGTTGGAACCATAAGGGTCCTGAGTATTCTGATAGTAGCAATAACTGGCATCATGTCCAGTTTTGTAACAGATTTGACATTGAACAAAATTTCTTCCTCCACGAGCACCACGCCCTCGAAGTTGTCCTCCACGAGGACCTCTTCCTCGAAAAGAACTGCCACGGCCAAAACCTTGAGAGTTACCACCACTGGAGTCAGGATTTTCAGGAGTTTGATAGTTGGAATTTGCAGATTGCACACCTCCTTGAGTGAGATTAACAGTTACAACCTCAGTGACATGTTTCTTTGCTTTTTCAACCCTAGCTTCTTGAGTAATAATCAAAGATTCAAGTTCATCAAGAGAGATGAACCCAGACTTCAAATTTACTGCAGCTACTACTGAGTCAAATTCAGATGGTAAGGCTTCGAGGATGAGTTCAATTTGATCACGGTGCATCACCGGATCACCGATGGACATCAGTGTGTCAACAATCGTACGAACACAAGCAAGAAATTCTGAAATAGATCTGGTACCTTTTGAGAGAGAACGAAGCTCCGATCTGAGTTGACGAGATCGAGTTTTCATTTGCGTGTGACAAAATGCATGAATCTCTTCCCAAACTTGCCAAGAATGGCGTAACAGAACGAATCGAGAGAGAAGAGAATCGGAGATTGTCGAGAGCAGCCACGTGCAGAGTAGCGCATCCTGTTCTTCCCACGCGACATAGCTAGGGTTCTCAGATCCAGCGTCGCGATCAGCAACCGTGAGGAATCATTCTGGAATTTGAGGAGTAACGACGAATTTCACCATTTTTGTTCCACGAAGCACTCCTTCAACCTGCTGTTTCCATTGGCGATAGTTTGTTTCATCCAATTTGACGGAGATCTTCTGTTTGAACGTTGTGTTTGCAGCGGCAGAGTTTACATCGGAAGCGGTGTTTGCTTGAGATGTTGACGACAACGTCGCCATGATCGCAGCGAGTTTAGGAACCGAGGATCAAAGAGAAGCTATACCGTGTTAGAATTGTAGAGAATCATAGAGAGAGAAGATGAAAGGGAAAAGAGAGAAAGAGAGAAGAGAGAGATGAGAATCTAACAGAATTGCATAACTGTATTATTTTTTACATTCTGTTACACCAGTTGGTATTTAGAGTTTGTTACACTTCACTGTTACACTTCATTGAACTCTATGTGTTCAGGTAATCTAAACTAGAGGGAAGCTATACACTATACTCCTAATAAGTCTCCACCACATTTTGACATCAACTTATAATTGCATAAAATAGTATTGTCTTCTCAAAATTTATACATGTGATTTACTCTGAACATAGTCTCGCTAGAAAATGTACATTCAAGATGTACTGGTCTCATGCTTGCAATACCAATTGATGAATTCCAGTATAACTGATCTCTTCTAGATAACAACCTAGTCGTTTTCTTGAATAGCATCAAATTGCTTTTGTTTGACTGTTTAATAGCATTGTGTCATCCCATGTTGTGAAAATGTCAAATAATATTGGATTTGTTTTATTAAACGTGTCAAAATATATACTGCCCCCGTCCCAACCTTGCTATTTGTTTTTACAAGCAAACTTTTTTATTTATATGCAGAGACAAAGTTGTTGACTTCCACTGGAATGCTTATGATCCATGGACAATTGTAAGTGTGTCTGATGATTGTGAAAGTACTGGTGGAGGGGGAACATTGCAGGTATGTCACATGATTTTTCATGTTCTAACTATATACCGAAAGAACCAATTTTTATACAATCGAAATGATGTTGCCTGCTTGTGGACTGTATGGATAAGGAATTACCAAATTTGTTGGTGGAGTTTCAGGATAAATGTCTTAAGGAAGTATAGGCACATTTGTCTTAACATAGAGACATAACAAATCTTAAAATTGAAATGTTACTCATTATACTATGTCACATTATCTTCTCAGTTGAAAGACGCGGTAAATATGATATTAACTTAAAATGTAGGTCATTGATAAAATAAAATAAAACAAAAGACATTTACCTCCCTCAAAACTTGTCAAAAGGCCATCTGTAGTTTTCTAAAAGCAATATCCTCCCCTGAATATCATCCATGTTTCTCTAATTCGAGGTATTTTTAATAAGCCAACCTGCTTGAGTATGTCAGCACCCCAAGTTAACTGGAGTAAACTGGCTGAACTGTGACTTTAAAGAAGCCAAATAAAAGAAAAAAACGGTAACTTTTGTTAAGTCAATGCAAATTCGAGAGCCACTGGCAAGTCATGTTAACATTGGATTGGAAGAAAGGATAGGGAAGATTCAGTGAGTATCTTTCTTTGCACTACATTTTATTGGAAATTGTTCCCCAATTGTAAGTGTGGGAGTAGCCTCACAATATTTGTTTTAGCAGAGAGGACTGTTAGAATCAAATGCTGGAAAACTTACTTAATTGAATAAGAAAAGGCCAATAAATAGGCTTACATAATATCACACGATCTCCCTAACTGCCCCATTATATGTGGAGCAGTTTATTCCTTCCTAAAATCTAGGTACTGACATTGACTGAAACAATAAAATAGCTAACAATAAGCTGACACATTCTAATGTGCTGCAATACTTAATTTAATTAAAAATAAATATCAAAATATTAATCTTAACATCTCCTCCTAAACTGATCAATCCAATTCAGTTTAACTTTGGTGCATCACATACTCCTAGCTTCTTTCTAAGTCCCTGGAAGGTTCTTGTGTCGAGTGGCTTAGTAAATATATCTGCAACCTGCTGATGCGTGCTACAAAATTTTAACTGAACAGCTCCTTCATTCACCAGCTCACGTAGGAAGTGGAACCTTACATCGATGTGTTTGCTTTTGCCGTGCATCACCGGATTTTTTGATAGCTTGATTGTTGAGTTGTTATCACAGAAAATAACAGGGTTGCTGCTTCCTTCATAGCCAATTTTGCCCAACACTCTTTTCATCCATATTAACTGACAAGAGCAAGCTGCTGCTGCCACAAATTCTGCTTCGGTTGTACTTAGAGTAACAATTGGTTGTTTCTTGGAGGACCATGCCACTGCTGCATCACTGAGAATGAAGGTATACCCGGATGTACTTTTTCTGTCCTCCACACATCCAGCGTAATCACTGTCGGTGAATCCTACTAGCTCTCTGTTTCCTTCTTTCCTGTAAAAGAGCCCATATTCAATAGTCCCTTGCAAATACCTTAAAATTCTTTTGGCTGCTGCAAAGTGAAGTTCAGTTGGCATAGACATGTATCTGCTAATCAGACTAACAGCATACATTACATCTGGCCGAGTGGCTGTCACATACATCATACTTCCCACAAGCTGCTTATAGAGTGTGATATTTACCTTCACACCTTCTTCATCTTTGTGAATCTTAAACCCCGGGACGATAGGATTTAAGACAGAGTTGCTTTCCTCCATTCTGAATTTTGTTAGTAACTCTTTCACATACTTTCTTTGACACATGAAAATTCCATTATCAAGCTGCAACACCTCAATTCCCAGGAAGTATTTCATTCTTCCCAAATCAGTCATTTCAAATTCTTTCATCATGGATTCTTTAAACTCATTCATCATAGTTTGATCGTTACCAGTGTAGATCAAATCATCAACATACAAGCTAATAATTAGGCATTTACCTTGTTTGTTGAATTTCGTGAAGAGTGTTTGCTCGCTGACATCCTTTACAAATCCCATCTTCTGAAAGTAAGTATCTATCCTGCTGAACCATGCACGTGGTGCCTGCTTCAATCCATATAGGGCCTTACGAAGCTTGTACACTTTTCTTTCAGCACCCTTGATTTCATACCCTCTTGGCTGGTCTACATACACTTCTTCGGAGAGTTCTCCTTGCAAGAAAGCTGACTTTACATCTAGCTGATAGATTATCCAACTTTTCTGAGCTGCCAATGCTAAAATCATCCTCACGGTATCCATCCGAGCGACTGGTGCATATACTTCCTCATAATCAACTCCGTGTTCTTGTGCATATCCTTTTGCAACTAACCGAGCTTTGTACTTTTCAACTTCTCCATATTGATTCAATTTAGTCTTATAAACCCATTTTACTCCTATACTTTTGGCTCCCTCCGGTAGATTAGTGAGAAACCATGTTTCATTCTTCTCAATGGATTGAATTTCTGAATTCATAGCATTTCTCCATTCTTGGATCTTAGCAGCTTCTTCATAGCTAATAGGATCACATTCTATGAATAAGGCTAAATGTGAGGTGTGATCTTGACTTGCTTCAGCAGTTTCAGCTTCATCATTGACGTTATAGTCTGTCATCCACACTGGTCTCCTTCTGATACGACCTGTCCTTCTGACACAATCTCCTTCCCTTGTATTTGTGGCTTCAGGAGATGACGCAGCCGCTGCCATAGTGTTTTCTCTATCACTTCCCTCTTCATCTATGCTTGCTTTATCTTCTTCAGTGACAGTTTCTATAATAACATCAGAATCTTCATTGGTAACATCTTGAGTCTCAATTTCTCCTTCATTTATGTCATCTCCCCAGTCTAGATCAAGGCTTATCAAGCTGTCATAACTCTTATCCCAGCTCCACTTTTTCTCTTCTTCAAACACAACATCCCGACTAACAATGACTTTCTTGCTTATGGGATCGAATAGTCTGTAGCCTTTTGATTCTGAACTAACCCCAAACAGTACACAACTTCTGCTCTTATTCTCTAGTTTAGTGCGTTTGGCGTCAGGCACATGTACATGTCCTATACAACCAAACACCCTAAAATGTTCTACAGATGGCTTTATCCCACTCCAAGCTTCTATTGGTGTCATGTCCTTCACAGAAGAAGTTGGACTTCTGTTAAGCACGTAGAACGCCCAACTCGCAGCTTCAGGCCAAAAACTCTTAGGAATATCAACCATCATACTTCTTACCATGTTCATCACTGTTCTGTTCTTCCTCTCGGCTACTCCGTTTTGTTGCGGCGTGTAAGCTGTGGTTAGTTGTCTCTTGATTCCATTATCTTTACAATAATCATTGAAAGCACTTGATGTAAATTCTCCTCCACGATCTGTTCTTAAGCACTTAATAGACAGACTAGACTCTTTTTCAACACTACTCTTAAATTGCTTAAAGGCAGCAAATGCATCAGCTTTATAAGCAAGGAAATAGACCCATGCTTTCCTACTAAAGTCATCAATGAAACAAAGCAAATACCTCTTTTGGCCATTTGAAGCTGGTGAGACGGGTCCGCAGATGTCAGCATGGATTAATTCCAACTTAGTTGAAGCACGCCATATGCTTTTTTTTGGAATATTTTCTCTATGTTGTTTTCCTTTCAGACAATCTGTGCAAATGGAATCAGGTCCGAGAAGACACGGCATCCCTTTCACCATCTCTTTGTCCTTCAACATGCGCAATCCTGTGTAACCGAGATGGCCAAACCTTCGATGCCAAAGCTGTACCGAATCTTGGGTTGTGGACTGCAGACAAACTTCTTTTGTGTCCTTGTCAGAATACTTATCAGAGAGCACAACGAACATACGGTTGGAGGTCATGTTACTCTGAAGGATGAGGCCCTTTGTTGAGTGATAAATGCAGCATTTATTATCCTTCATCACCACTGTTAATCCTTTTTCTTGCAGTTGTCCAAGGCTAAGAAGATTATTCCTTAGTTCTGGAACATAGAAGACATCCTGAACAAGATAGCTATTGCCTCCAAAGTATAGCCTGACAGTACCTTTACCAACCACATTTAACTGCATATGATTCCCTAGCCGCACTGTTCTTTGAAATCCATCTTCCAACCGATTAAATAATGACGGGTCTCCACACATGTGATTACTGCATCCTGAATCTAGAAACCACACATCAGTTTTGCTTTGCCCAAACGATTCATGATAAGCCATGAGCAACATCTCCTCAATTTCTTCAATTTCAGTGTAATTTGCTTGCTTAGCCATATTTGGACACTCATACTGAAAGTGACCCAACTGATGGCACTTATAACATTCAATGGTTGCCTTGCTATAGGGTTGCCGGCCTCTGCCTCCTCTGCCCCTTCCTCCTCTGAAAGCTCTGCGGCTGCCTCGTCCTCTTCCACCATTGTTCTCACCGTATGCCACCGTGAGTGCTTGCTCTTCGTCTACTTCCTTCTTGAATTTTTGCTCGTGCACAAGAAGGGAGCTTTGCAGCTCATCGACAGTAAGCTTGTCCATATCATTGGCTTCCTCAATGGAACACACAATATAGTTCCACTTTTCAGTGAGGGTTCTCAAAATCTTCTCGACGACCTTGACATCAGTCATATCTTCACCGTAATTCCTCATATCGTTTGCAATCATCATTACCCTACCGAAGTAATCATTGATTGATTCTCCTTGCTTCATGGCAAGGATCTCAAACTCTCTGCGCAATCGATTGAGTTGGGATCGCTGAACTCGAACATTGCCCTGGTATTTCATCTTCATTGAATCCCAGATTTGTTTCGATGTTTCCTTCTTTGGGATTGTCTTCAGAATTGACTTGTCAAGAGATTGAAACAAGTAATTCTTGGCTTTCAGGTCCTTCAACTGCATCTCTTCCGCCGTCTTTCTCTGTGCAGCCGTCGGCACTTCTCCTGCAGCGGGTTGAACGAGGCCTGTGGTCACAACAATCCAATACTCTTTCGAACGGAGAAGGTTCTCCATGAGCATGCTCCAGTGATCATAATCACCATCAAATTTAGGAATTGATGGTAGATTAAAACGATCGCCGCCTTCGGACGCCATCTGCTCTTTCTCTCTTGATTTCTTGTGAAATTTTCTGCTCTTGATACCAGATGTTAGAATCAAATGCTGGAAAACTTACTTAATTGAATAAGAAAAGGCCAATAAATAGGCTTACATAATATCACACGATCTCCCTAACTGCCCCATTATATGTGGAGCAGTTTATTCCTTCCTAAAATCTAGGTACTGACATTGACTGAAACAATAAAATAGCTAACAATAAGCTGACACATTCTAATGTGCTGCAATACTTAATTTAATTAAAAATAAATATCAAAATATTAATCTTAACAGAGAGGACAAGCAGTGTTAATTTGGAAGGGAGGTATCTCAGAAAATATAGACAAGGGAGATCAGGATCTAGTTGAAGACCACACGAAGACATATTTGTGTTGTTTATCTCAGAAAATACAAACAAGGGAGATCAGTATCTAGTTAAAGACCATTAGAAGACATACCTGTGTTGTTTAAGAAGTCTTCAGGGAGCTCAATGCAATATGCCCAAATAGAATCTACATAAAATAATACATAAATGTATGATATTTGTCTGAGTTTAGTACTGAGCAATAGGAGTGAAAAACATCACATGGTTATTTACCTATATGGGTTTGTCAAAATCTCCGCATGCCCAAAATTTGACTCATTTATTTAAGAATGAACCACCAATTCTAGGTATCTGGACAATTTTTTATTAAAATAGATGAAGTTTTAAATTGATCTTAAAAATTAACTCTCAATCACATTAGTTCTTTTGGGCCAGTTCTTGAAATTGTCTTGAACGAACAAATGTGATTGATAGTTTCAATTTTTACAATTGATTGTGAATCACTCATTTATTTAATATTCACACTATAAACTCAAGTAGCAATTCATCTCTGGTGTTTTCATGGCACCAAGCACACATCCTGGCATTTATAGTCATGTTTATGGATTCTTTGTTTTTTACTTTTCTGTTCCTACACGGGGATGCACCCATAGTGGAGCAGCTGCAGTGCTAGAGCCGGGGGAGAGTAGTAGCTTGTATACTAGAAAGGCACATTGCGGATTGAAATATTCATGTTTTGCCACTTCCTTTTTAAAACATGAATAGAACTCAACTAAGTCATCCAAATATGCATATTACAACTTGTTTTACACCAAGTTGCATGCATGACCAATTTGAATAGCACTTTGTTTTCAATACTTTTGAACACACTTTCACTGACACGCTTGAACATATCCACTGATTATTATTATTTTTTAAAAATCGTTTGTGTCATAAGTTGGTTACTGTTTTGAATTAATATGTTAATTTGAAATGAACAAACTGAATGTTCTTCCCCCTGTTTTGAATTAACCCGTTAGCATATTTCACTGTGAATGTTCTTCCCCCTGTTTTAACTTAATTATTTTGGTTGATTCATTCAAATTGATTTTGCCGCAGATATGGCGCATGAGTGATTTGCTCTATAGACCAGAGGATGAGGTTTTGGCAGAGTTGGAGAAATTCAAATCTCACGTGGTGGCTTGTGCTGCAAAGACCGATACATAATTTACTTCATAGACGAAGGCTTGTGTAATTTTAACTGTTTTTATTTTTTTTTACTTTTGCTATGGGCCAGTTTAGAGGAACATAACATGTAATTCTTAGCCCCATTTTCACTGGACAGAACTAGATGTAGGATGGAGATTGGAGAATGAATAGGCTCATTTACCCAAAAATTTTTCTATTTTTTTTGTTGGTAAATTCTTAGGTGAGTTTCAGCTGGGGGAGCGTACCTTTAATTTATTTTAAATAAATCACTACTGTTACAAAATGATTACAAAATGATTGGCGTTTTAGCAAATTAAATTTGTTTTAAAATGAATGTATTTTTTTTTGATGTATAAATTTTTTAATAGATAAATGATTTTATTTTTTCAATTGTGTTATTTAATTATTATTTTTTTTGTTTGTTTTTTTTTTTGTCATTTTTGACTTTTTACACATTAAGAAAATCAATAAATGTTACTTTTTAAACAACAATGATTATATTTTTTTCTATAACATCTTTAATTTTTTATTAGTTAATTATTTTATTTTTCTCTTTGTAATAAATAATGATCATTAATATATATAATATTGAAATGACATTTAAAAAGAATCAATTTATTTTTAAAATGACAGGAAAGAAAGGAGAATCAATCTATCTTTAAAATGACACTTAAATAAGAATGAAAAATGGAAAGAAAGGCCAAAGTATTATGTACACTATTTTCAGTGCATTTATAAGATTAATTAAGTATAGTGCATTTATAAGATTAATTTAGTATTCTCTTTGATTCTAAGAGAAAAGTTATTTTTTTTACTCATTCAACCATCAATGTTAATTATTTAATTAAATTAAAAAATAATTTGTTTTTTATAATTAAGACCAATATATTATAATAATATTATTATTTTTCTTCATCTGTGGAAATTCTGATTTTGAAATGGATGGAGTATAAAAAATGACACGTCTTTTCATGAATGAATGGTGGGTATCCAACCAAACTTTAGGCTTAAGTGAATACTTAGTTTCCGTATATTGATTAAATGAGAAGTGTTTGATAAACATTATTATCCACTTAAGCCTTTATGTTTATGTAGTATTAGTCAAAAATAAAATAGCTATCCTCTCAATCACTTATTCGTATACCCGTGGATGATTTTTTCACTTCAAAATCTGCAGGAAGGAACATGCATTAATTCTGAGCTAAGAAAAGAAAATATATTATAAGAGATTTTTTGAGGTTTGAATATAGTCTATGAATTTGATTATATATTATTTAATTAAAAAATGTATAGATAATTTTAATTTTTAATTAAAATATGCGTTTTTATTTTTATAATATTTTTAGACAATGTAAATTAATTAGCTATTTTATCATCCTTGAACAAGAATGTATCTATGAGATGTAAAAACACACATTTGATTATTTTAGGGTGAAGCAAAAATCCTCTCCTTATACTTGTCAATAACATGATTGAATTTGGAATATAATAATTTTTTTAATTTCTACAATCTTATGTACTTTTCACCTCTGTCACGTTGGACTCAATGTGGCATGTTAGTAAGTATCAATGCATTTGCGTCCATTCACATGTTACTGTTATCCAGCCTGGTGTTCACATGTGTTGCCATCATCATTCATCATACATGAAATTGATGATATATATTCACCTTCTATTGTTTGGTACTGCCATAAAAGAGAAAAGAAAGAAAGTTTTATAAGGGATCTGCGTATATTTTATTTCTTTTACGAATTGGACGGAAAGATAACCATGAGTGACATTAGGATTTTATGAAAAAGACACTACAGTCCCAATTTAATATTAATATTTAATGTTGACAAGTTATAGTGTAATGTTGCTAGATAAATTTGCTCATGTATATATCGTTTCTTATAATGATTTTAAATTGAAAGTTTATGTAATGGAGGAAATTTGATTTTACAACAAACAATTTGAAATTAACATATCTTACCATTATAGTAGTTGAATCGAAATATTTTTATTTTCAAAAAATCATTATATAAATATTTAAGTTATAATAGTAAAATGTAAATCATTGCTGTAAATCGTGTAAAACTACTGTAGTAATTGGAGTATCAACTTTGGATATACAACTGAATCTCATATTTAAAAGAATCCTTTGAAAACCGTGTGAAACATTTTTATATCGAATAGTAGTACTTAGGGGTGGACAACGGTCGGATTCGGTCCGAAAAGTGTCATACGAAAGTAAACCGAAGACCTTGAAAATAAAATCATTTTCAACCGTATCATAAACGGTTATCATCGGTTTCAGGTGGGCGGAGAATCGGGTATGTCAGACGGATTGTTTCGGTTAAGAGTAAGGTAATGTAAAGTTTTCTCTTGATTACTCTTTCTAATAATTTCATAGGAGTCTTGAAGGTGATTTTCAATGTTTTTGGTAACACTTAAGGAAGATTATGATGGATGGCAAACAAATCTGGTGTAAAGATGAGATCAGTGTGAAGATAGGATGAGTTTGATGGAAGTAGTAAAGACATTTATATTAGTTAAAAAAATTGAGTTTGTGAAGATGAGAAGAAACATATATGAAAAAATGGCTCTGCAATATTGAAGATGAGTTTGTGATCGTGAGAAAATGAGTTTGATGTGAAGAATAAACTAGAAATTTAAGAGAGAGAGAGAGAAAAAAAAAATTAATTTAAAACAAATACAACTTGTTTGTTTGTAACATGTGAAGAGAGATATTGTATGTTAACAGTAAAATAAAGTGATTGAATTAATGTGGCTCAGAGCATTGATAAGTGTAAAAGAAAAAATATTAATTAAAAACTAGGAAAGCTATTGCTAATCAATGATTACTAAAATTACATTGAAAACAAGCTAATTATTTGTAATGGTAAACTTGTATATCGGACGGGTTCGGATAATAACAGATACAATTTTATAAACTGAATCCGACCGACAAAATCCATGTTTACCCGCTTTTCGCAACATCTGAACCCATGGTCCGAACCGACCCACCCATAACACCTATAGATATTTCGGTTTTCTCGGTTTTCGGTCGGGTGATTGAGATCTGTCCACCCCTAGTAGTACTGTACTAGTATATGTTTCTTGTGATTTGACTTATCAATGCTCATTTGATTTGGTTTGATAATGACATGTAGTTCTTTATCGATAATGAAATTGATTTTGTATGATTTTACCAAATGCAAATTGTGTAAACTAATAGTATATTATATTGAATGGGGTCCATTGATGCAGTTGTTGTGAAATTATATAGTACAAACAATTTAGGAATTTAGATTTATCAAATTGAATGTGGATGTTATAGTTATGAATTTGTATTCATTTAAAATCCAACATATTTTTAATCATTGAAATAAAATATAAAATGAAAAATTAAAAATTCCATACCAAGAGTATGACATAAAAAATTAAAAGATACATTAGAAACAACTTTATCAATCACAAATGAAAAATAGATGTGATGATGATACAACTATGAATCGCGAAGCAGATGTTACATTGGATACTGATCGGTAATTGAAATTACATTTAGAATTCTGATTCAAAAAATATTGTTGCCGAAATAAGTTATTCTAAATCTTACATCTTCAATTAAATGGAGGAAATCACTCAGAGTTTCCCATCCGTCAAACAATACCGAAGCTACGACATCTCCATTAAAATGCATGAGATGATTATGGTAGTTACAGTCATAAACATTCCATCATCACACTCATAGATTGTGTATGAATCTTTGCACGAATGTTGGATCAATTTCACCATTCATCTGAAATAAATTAAATATAAAAAATTCATTAGTATAAGATACTACAAAATATTAATAGAGAGAATAATAAAAAACTATAAAAAAATAGTTGTGAAATATTTTTTAAATATTACCTCACATGTAGTGTGTATGGTTGTAAAAGAATCAAGGCTCCTTAATTTTTCACATCTAATATAAAACTTGTTGTTTTCTTTATATTCAAAATAAACTTTATCATGTATGTCAAGTCCTAAAACGTTTACAACATTTTCCAATAATTTTTTTTGATATAGACGGCGTTGTGATATTTAGGTTGCATAATAAAAAAAAAGATTTCTGTAGTCATCGTAGGCGTGCTAATCAATTTTCAATTCGGAAAAATAGTGGTACAAGAAATTCAAAGGGACTTCGACATTTATCTTACAATAATATTGAAATCATGTCATCCCTATATGACATTCTCTTCAGGAATTCAAGTGCGCCATCGACATCTGACTATATTGAACCCCTTTGTTTGAATAGTTCATTGTACATGTCTCTCATAGAATAACCAAGCTTTGCATATCCTCCTGCATGACTTGCAAAAAAAATCCATAAATATGGGAGGTTGGAATTCCAGATTTCCTCATGGTCTTCATTTGGTATTTTTCGTATTCACTTATCTTCCTGTGTGCTGGAAGCATCCGCTCATACTTGTCATCTAGAAATGTGTGGTTATGGACATCATCAAAAAATTTAATATACCAACGTTCAGTGTTGAAGTCAACATGTACTTGAATTCTTGCCAAACAACCACACCTGCTAGTTGGTTTATGTTCTCGCTTTTTAACTGCATAATTGTTGCATTTGTCATCTCTAATACATTCTCTATGACTGAGAAATCTTTGTTGAACTATTTCACAATTGACATTCCTAACAATCTTACTCTTTCTACCATCAAATCCATTGAGACATCCATACCTATTGTAAAATATAAATGCAACTCTCCGATCTGGAAAATAATACTACATTTTTTGTTCGGAACTAGTTTCTTTGAAATCTATTTTCTCTAGATCAGACACATAATTTACTGCAGTTTTGTCGTCATAAATGCAACCACCAGTCTCGGTGTTATTTACTCCGTCTTCCTCTGATGACAAACTATCTTCACCCGACATCTCCATTAAAGCACAATAGAATTATATATTCATGTTGTAACTAATACATTCATTAAATAGATAATACAAAAAATTCATAAAAGAGAGAAAACGTAACAACA